TAAAAAAGTGCAATATTTTGAATAAGTCAAATGATATTTACATAGTAACAACGTATATGAATCTGTTATATAAATGAATGACGAGTATTTGTTAGTTCATTGATCGATTTACTGTAATCATTATACGTCTTGAATTGTAAATAAATGACTTAAACCCTAATGACTAGAGTGTATCATACTTAACTACTATTGACAAAGTAAATATATAAATAGCACTTTATGTATGATTCTTAATCATTTATTAATTGTTAATAACATTTGAATTTGGGTAATTTCTATATTTGCCAATTTCAATATCGCAGAATAGATTGATAACCAAAAACAAGTCTGGATAAAATGTTACCAGCTGTGTATTTAACGATTGGTTACCATATCCATCGGTTAAAAGGTCGTTTAAATCTATTGCCTACTTGAGGATGCAGGTATAAATGTGGAGGGCGATAAAAATTAGATCCACACCTTGAGTTTGCTGCCAAGTGAAATGGTAACCGATCGATTGTGTAAAGGGCCATCCATAGAAGACATACAGATAAAAGGAAGTAGAGGACGTCCATCCAAATCGGACAGAGAGAACAGAGGCAGATATTAAACATTTCTGAACTTCCAAACACTTACTATGAATATTCTGTTTTTTTTTCATACACCTTTCAGCAAAAATTTCCAGATTAGTTTGTTTTAAAGAGCATTTAATATTGGAAATGAACTGAATGTGAATCCGCTGAATAGGAATACAGTAGGGAAATAACTCAAGATTATAATATATGAGCAGATTATTTTTTTGTGGAGCAGTATTTATGACACTTTCGAGTGCAATTGGTATTAAACTTCATTTTTTGTTGTTACTATTTTCTGTCCATGAAAATATAATGTATTTAAAAAAACAGAATGTTTCCATAGATTACTTTTTTATGTGTTGTTTACCAAATGTGCATTTATTGATTTCTATTTTGGATATATTTACTTCATGAACTGTTATTTAATGCGAAAGAAGCATTATATTTGAACAGACAGGCTTTTTCTAATTGTTTTTTTTCATATTGAATGTTAAAGGTCGATGAGTTAGTCTCAAAGTAAGATCTAGTTGGGTTCGAGTCTGAAAATTTTCGACCTTACAGGTTCTACTAGACGTTCAGAATAGGAAGAGCTTGATAAAACTGGACAAATTTGAACAAAAGGCGGGGTCAAAAAAATGCGATTTTTACGTAAACATCTTTTATAGATCGTCCTTCATGAACTAATGAATTGTGATTAAATGTTAGTGATAGAGTCAATCATATTTGATCCACAGTCGTTTTCTCTTATTGATTCTTTCAACGATGTAGAAGTCGGTGAAAATAGAGTAAATCTGAATTTGATAATTTGTCTTTGCCTTAAATTCAAATAGAAATAATGAATTTTTTGAATGATATAAAAAAAATTTTTTTTTTCGTGAATCTGCGTAATTTAAAATATAATATAATAAATAAATCTTGATGCTTGAAATTCCAACGTACGAAAAGATCGGAAGAAGAAAACACAAAAAAACAAATGGGTGACACAATGAAATAGAAACTTGATAGAAAGGCAAGTAAAAATATTGCGAAAATAGAACTAAGAATGTTTGATTGATATTGCTTGAAGATAGATCAATTCAAAGTCTTCAACTTTCAGTTTTTCTCGAAGTGATTCGACTATTTTTATAAAGAAAAAAGAGAAAAGAAATTTACATCTGTAGTCGAGAGTTGAAATCAAATTGTTTTTTTTTTCTTTGGAGTATCGGTAAAACATACTCACGTAGCTGTTCAAATATTCAATTTTATAAGAAAGTGTTTACCATCTTTTCAATTACTGTATCTGAATAAAATAGTCCTATAATATTTTAATGATGAGATAATCATTTTTTTTGTGAACATATGCATTGATAACCAATTTTCCATTCATAGAAATTCACGTATGGATTCGTAAGTAGAAGTATAAAGATATTTTTTTTACAAAAATGCAGTTCTTTATCATCGAGTAATAGTATGATGATGCTGCTTTTGTTGAATATCGTTATAAAATCTTCGGTTGTTTTAAAATAAATTTTTTATAATCATTTAGCAAAATATCTATCGTTTAGAGTTCTTTTTAACAAAAAACTAATTCGATTTAACCAGCGATGGAAAATCTTGAAAATATTTATAGAATCAACAAGAGTATTGATAAACTTCGTAAAAGAATACTCCATTTAATGTATAATGATTCTCAGCGTTATCTCGAGCTCGATTCAGTTGTACTCATTAAAAACGAAAAACTATGAAAAAACTATGAAGAATTATCGCGTAAGCGAAATGAAGAAATCAAACATGCCTATTTGCATACTATTGTTAGAACAAAAACAGCACGTTTTAAAATAGAAACAAATTGGTCCATTACTTACACTTTCAAGACTTAAAGTGATAGCAATAGTCATCGGAAAAAATTCAACGAAATTAGTGATGACACCCAAATGGTTTAAGATTAATGATGAAGAGAAAGTATTGAAAAATATAAAATATTCACCTAATATTACTGAAAGTCGTCCATTCAATACTAGAGCACGTTTTCTAGCAGTTCAGAATGAAACAAATAATTCAAGTGATTTTACTAGTGAACCAATTGAAGTTACAGAAGATGCTACAGAAACGCTTGTATTTGCACTCGATGCATTCATCCAATAGTTTGGTGCGAAATTACGTTTTACAGGGTGGTAAATAATATTATTCCAGGGGGGTAACAGTATGATCTCGAATCGGAGATATCATGAATTTTATACCAAATGAAAGCCCGTGAAAAATGGGGTTTAGTGATAGTAAATAGTAAGACTTTGAAGAACTTTCGTGTACCAAATTTTTAAAAACAACGAAATTTTCTTTCAAAAACACGTTAAAAATCATTTTTCATACATTTTGAGACATTGAAAACGAACATTTTTTATGAAAACGAAAGAGAAATGATAACGATGATGATATATGACTATGACTCACACAATAAGATGGTTCTTTGGCGTTCTGTTCTTCTCTCCACGTGATACTAGTTATTTGAAAAATTTTTTCGTTCTCGGACTGTCTGAAAGTTATAGTCGAGTGAAATCTCAGTGTTTTTTCGTTTGTTATTTCAAATGGCTGGCGCTTATGATACCGAACAACAAAGAATGATTGATAGAATTAAATGCATTACTTTCCGAGAAGCTCGTGATGCTGGTGCAACATTTATAAATAGACAATGGATTGCCGACAAAATTCACCGTACGACTCGATTTGTTACAGAATGGTGGGAAAAATCGTGTGACCAATGTTTTGCTGATTATTCGAATGCTGGTCCTAAACTCAAGTTATCGAGAGCTGCTCAGGACATTATTCGTGAAGCAAGTGGTCACCAACGGAAAAGCGGTTCTGTCGTGGCGAAAGAGATTGCAAAGAAACAAAAAGAATCCCATGTAACCACGAAACGCACAATGGACGCGGCTAGATGCGTTTCTGTTGAAAATATTGGCGTTCTGACGCGTTTTTATTGAAAATGCCGGCGTTTCGACGCGTTTTCGTATTAAAGAATAATGGAAACGCGTTCGGTTTGAACGCGTTTAAAGAGCATTACGAGCTTGATAGCAAAAACTGAGATAAACGCGTACACATGCGTTTTTATTTTCGTTCGAAACGCGTTGGTCTGCTCCAGACCTTTTCATGCGTTTAGAAATATACTCAGCAATTAAAAGAAGCTATTTACCAGCCGCTAAAAATGCTTTTTGTTTATTATTTCTAATTTGTGTTAGTCAAAATATATTGAATATTTATTGGCATTATTTGGAAAAAAGGAATGCAAAAAACAAGCCGATCTTTTTAAATTAAAATTTATTATTTTTTGTTGAATAGATGACAAAAAATATCCTTTTATTTTTGTTTGAAATAAGTTGATGCGTGTTGAATTGTCAATATATATATAACGATGTTTGAATTATTAAAAATTAAAAATATTGTTGAAATAATAAGTTTTCTACATTTAAAAAAATAATATTAATACAAATAGTTTTGTTTATATTTAATGATATAATAATAAATGGCCTTTTATTTGGTTTTATAAAGTAAAAAAAAATGAGTCTTTCATTTTTAGAAAATAAAAATTTGATGATTTTTTTTCACGTAAAAATCTAAGATTTTATTTTTTCCATATATTTCAGAGAAAACTGTATTATCTTCATTTTAAATTGTATAATTGTCTACCTTTAAATAAACTATTTTCATTCTTTAATTTCTCTATTTTGTAAAAAAATAAAGAAACTTAATCTTCTTTATTTTATGAAGATAAGGATTTTATTTTGTAAATGTAAATATTTTATTTAATAAATATTATAAATTTAAATATTTTATATATGATTATTTTATGAAATACAGATAAATCATAAATAAAATATTCATATTTACAATATTTACAAAATAAAAATAAATAAAAAAATCTTCATTTTATAAAATTAAAATCTTAAAATCTTCATTTTTATTTCATAAATGTAAATTTTCTATTTTATGGATATTATAAATATAAATATTTTATTTATAATTATTTCACGAAGTAAAGATAAATCACAATATCTCCATTGTGAAACCTTATATTAAAGAGAGAAAAAAGAATTATTCATTTGGTTCAATGATATAGAAACACTTTCGAGGCATGGATGGCTCAGAGCTAGTTGTGCTTGGTTCGCAATCAGTTGGTTGCGTGTTCAAATCTCGGTTCAAGTTGTCGCTGAAAAATTACCATTCGGTCGCTGACAGGATTTGAGTCTTATATCATAGCTCGCTATGGTGCGTCGGTTCGATTCCAATAAAGGGTGATGATTATTTTTGAATTTTTTTTGGGAATAAATTAAACGCACGAATTTAAACCAGTGTAGATGCGTTTATTGAATGAAACGCGTTTGAACGCCCTAAAATGTTGCATTTTGGACGCGTTTTAACGCGTCACGTTATATTGCACAAACGCTCGGAAACGCGTCACTAATCCTAAAAATGGTTACATGGGAATATGTTACTCGACAAACAGTTAATAACTACCGTCGTAGGGAAGGATTAAAGCCTTTTCATGTTATTTCAAGACCGTTAAAATCTGAAACTCATATATCAGATCGATTATGGCTCTGTGATTGGTTGAAAGATTGGACTGAAGAAGATTTTCTTCATCTGGCACCATCAGATGAATTTTATGTTTGGACAGTTCGCAAACCAAATTATCAAAATGATAGGATTTGGGCAAAAAGTGTTGAAGATATTGAAGACGATGAAAGGTATCGCGAAATGGTTAAAAACCAAGCGTGTATCGGTATTTTTATCATTTTCACCGCGAAAAAAATGCATTGGGTGATTAAAGACAAAGGTGAATCTTGGACCGGTCAATATTTTCGTGACATTATTTTAATGCAACACGTATTTCCATTCCTCACCGACGAGGAAAACGTAATTGATCTGGATAATGTGATATTTGTTCACGATAAAGCACCGTGTATGCGAGCAAACATGACTCAACATCTGATTAGAGATAACAAAATCGAGTTTTGGGGCAATGATATTTGGCCTGGTAATTCGCCCGATCTCAATGCGGCGGAACATATTGGATCAATAATGAAAGATGAAGTTGAACAAAAAATGTTATCGGAAACTGGACATAATCGATATAGTGAAGACACACTTAAAAAGCACATTGCGGATGTTTTGACGGGCATGGAAGAAAATACCGAATTGTTTGAAGCTCTTTTATGTTCGTATCCATCTCGACTTCGTGCAGTAAAGAGTGCTAATGGTCGTCATACTGATTATTGATTGTACTCAATAAATAATAAGAAAATAAACAGTTGTACAACATATAGTTTAGCCCCGAACTTTTTCGATGAACTGATTTTATAATATTTTATGTCGATAAAAATCGTAACGTTTGATAAATTAATACAAGAAAGTTCTTCAAAGTCTTACTATTTACTATCACTAAACCCCATTTTTCACGAGCTTTCATTTGGTATAAAATTCATGATATCTCCGATTCGAGATCATAGTGTTACCCCCCTGGAATAATATTATTTACCACCCTGTACTACTGAAGATCTATCATTTGAAGAAAGTGTTCATCGCACAGCAACTGGTGTAGCTGATTTAGGTAGTGCTCATTTATTTGTTAGTGAGCATATAACTTCTGCCAAGTTTGCTCTTATTATTGATTTGGTTTATGATGAAATCGCTCGGTCAGAAGAAAGTATGCAACAATTTTTTGTTGGCCTTTATCGATGCTGTTGCTCAGGATCTTTCCTGTGAAAATGATTTTGTTCGTGTCACGTCTGTTGAACGATCAAAGAAGCGTGAACGAAAAGCTGAAGTCAATTTGATTCTAACTGCACCTGAAAAAAACAAAAACAGAAGAGCTCGCTAACATTTTCAAGATAATATACATTATATGTGATGTATTGTTTCTAGAATTATTCTGTATCTTCTTGTTTATAACTACTTACGATTAGAGTCCATTGGAAGCAATTTGACGGGCTCTAGTCGTTTTGGAAAACATGAACGACCCTCTAGTCACCAAATATAAAAAGCGAAATAAAAGTATCTAGTATCCTCGGGGTGATTATTCTATTCCAAATAGAAAACTTTATTGAGAGTATCAAAATACTGCTCGACCGGATGTGGATTCCAAAAGTGTTCAATAACATGCATCCGAGTCCGAAAATTTTTGAATTCCATGGGCTCTACTTACGATAGGGATGGTTCTGTAAAATAATTAGTTCATCATCTATAATATATTGAGCATGTTACTAGTGACTTAGAAAAACATTTTAATTTATTACTATCGTATTTTTGTTTACAACGAAAATCATCATTCCTATCATATTCATTATCATATACTATCACTCTTTTGATCGACAATTTTCACGTAAGTGTTCTTTTAATTCATGTATAAAATTTATGTGTAGGATCATGCTCAATCAGGCTTCTCAAACAATACTATTCTTTGCTATATTAAACCAGATAAATATCAATGCCAATAGATGCTAGATTTGTTTTATTTACAGCTCCATCCATTTGATTTCGACCCAAAACACAATTATGATTATACGAAACCTGATGTACCTGCAGAACTAATGCGCGGTAGTCTTCCGTACTATTTACCTATTGGTTGGTTTCGTCATGCACTCAAAGTTGATAATAAATATAAAGATGGTTCAACTTGGCTTGGCTCTAGCAATGGTCCAGGAGAATGGCCAGTCGCTTTCCATGGTACGAAGTCAAGAGCCGTAAAAAGTATTACAGATCAAGGTTCGCGCTAGGTAGCAGCGTCAAAACAGATTACATGATTCATGAAGCTATAAAACAGAAATGTGAAGAAGTAAATCGATCTGGATTATATGTAGCAACACATTGTAATGGCGGATCTCATCTGTTTTATACGGAAACGTTCGAGGTAAAAACATCATCAGAAAAAACCGATGGATTTCAAGCCGTCTTTCACTGTCGAGTGAGACCTAATTTCTATACTACTCATACAACTCCAGTCAAAGTAGGTGAAGCCTGGCGTATTGTAGTTCCTACAGCTGTTCGACCATGTGGTATTCTACTGAAAAATATTAACACAAAAGTATCATACGAATAGAAGCAGAACTAAAGCAGTTCAGTGAACATTTTAATTTATATTATTCAGAATTGAGTTAGTAGTAATGTCATTTATCTTTTATTGTTTTTAAATAAAGTGCTTAATAACCAATAATATCTCTCATTAGTGTTGTTCTTTATAATAAAAACTTCGTATTTCGATTAGTATTTATTTCTACAGCAAATTATAACTAAAGTAAAAACTTATAAGTAACGCCGGACAATCTCGACCAGACTACTATCAGCACTGGATTCAACTAAGTGTTTATCAATAAAATATTTTCTTTCTTAATGGATGTATTTTTTTTAAACTAATGTCATTTTGATTTTCATATTTGTCTTTGTCAAATGTAGCGAACTGAATGAAATAGAATGCGACTGTGATGAGGGTGAAGATAAGATCTCCACATCCATAACCACACGCCCAGCGTATATTTTTTCTTAAAACATATACCATTCATCTAATTGTATTAAATAAATGTTTCACGCATGAATAAACAAGCATATTTCAAACACCAATAGTTGTAGTGTAAACAAATATTTGGTAACATATTTGACAACATACAAAACCTTCAATTTTACCGAATTCACCGATATTTACTGACTTTTCAACATAAAGTTGTGTTTTGCTTTTGTTATTTTTTTTTTGAATAATAGCATATGTCAATGTTTATTATTTCATAAGAGTTTTAATCCGTTCTGATATATATACTGTTTTTGTGTGTGATCATGAACTAGCGCCAATAATTGAAGAAAAGTCTTACCAGAAATTGATGATTGAAAAGGCTTCGTAGGAAGAGAATTAGAATTAGAAAATTTCATTGATGATCAAAGAGAAGAGCCAGATAAGAGTATTGTTTTCAAAATAAATTTTTTTAAGATAACGACAATTTTAATATTTTTCTTTGTTTTGCTGCATGTGTTTACTGTTCATTGAAGAAATTTTTTGATCCATGGAAGAATTACATCGGATTTTCGAAATATTTTATTAAAAATATGCAACCTCTTTTTAAAATTTTAAATTATCTTCAACATTCTTTCCATTACAATGTTCAATCAACCCGGCGCTATGTATTAGGATCTTTGAATCAACTATTATATTATCAAAACAATGCAATAAATATTATATCGCGAATATTGAATGAACAAATGAGTTTATTTTTTTCAATGATTTACAAATCAGATTAAATATATGATAAAATACGATGTTATTGATCAATGTACAATAACATTTTAAGAAAATAAAATTATGTTTATAAAAAAGAAAAAAATGCTGGTTTATCATTATTGAATAAATAAAAAAAAAGCAGGATTAAGAAATAATGAATTTATGTGTTTGAGATAAATCTAAAGCTAATGCTTCCATTTTAAAGACATTTAAAGTTGAATTAAATGTCCATGTAATATTTGATAACTCTTGGTCATTCCATTGAATTTCTTTTGGTTGATTTATCAAACCATAAATTGTAATATCATCTAATTTAATATGATCGTTCATTTGTGTATGTTTATATGTCCACGGTTCAATTGTTAAATGTTGTTTATCATAATTAAAATTAAAATAATTATAATTTGATGTTTGATACGTATCAACTGATTCTCCATCATCCCAAAATAAGTTTCCTTGAGCTTTTTCTTGTTTATCAAGTGCAATAATTAGATTCATAGGGTTTAATCGGGATTTAACTGTATTCATAGCTGATTTTTGACGAGGTAAAATTGCTCCACCACGTAAAAATAATGGTAAATAATCATAATCAGCTGTGACATTGATATATCCAAGTTTCAAGTGTTCTTCACCTGTATAATAATTAAACCATCGTTCATTTGATGAAGGTAAATAAACATCTTTTGTTGTATGATTTTCATAAATAACAGGAGCTATTAATAAATATGAACCCCATAAAAATTGTTCATCAATTGACCAACATATTGAATCAGTTGGAAATTCATGTGCCATTGAACGAACAACAGTACCACCTGTGATATGAACACGATGAAAAAGTGTATATAAATATGGAATTAATGTATAACGTGTTTCAACCACACGACGATTGGAATCAACAACAGATGGAGAAAAACTTCCGGGGTCTTGATCAATAAATCTTATTGCATTGTGATTACGAAAGAATGGATTAAATGCACCTAATTGCATCCATCGTTGACACATTTGTTCTGTTCGATTTTCAAAAAATCCACAAATATCGGCACCTATATACGGAATACCAAATAAATTAAATTCAAGCATTCCAATTATATTATATTTAAGATGTGGCCATGCAGCTGTATTATCACCTAACCAATGACCAGAATATGCACCAGATGTTGGAAATGTTGATCGACTAATTACAACTGATCGTTTATTTCCTAAAGCTCGAAGAGCATCTAATGTCGGTAAGGTTTCTGACCATCCATATAGATTATGTACATCATAATGATTATAAACCTTTCCTTGGCCATCTTTTTGTTCACCAATCATACAAAGAGTTTTGTCGCATAAATATTCACCATGTACAGCTGTTTTATATCGAGGACTTTCTAATTGTTCTTCCATTGGACAATGAAGATTCCATGGTTCTGAATGTGGCCAATTCCATGGTTGTAATTTATTTGTATCAAAATTTGCTGGTTCACTAAATTATTTTTATTATTGTTAAAGCAAAGAGAAAACTCTATGAAATATGTTGGTTTTCGATTTATATTAAGATAAAGCTTGCAGAACACAGTTGCATATGATAAAAGATGATCAAAAACTGTCAAAGACTTTCAATTTGGATTATAGCGTCTTTCAATTGCAAGAAGTATGGCGAGCTTGATGTTTCTAATGCAGACCAAGATTAATGAAGATTTGAAAAAAAATACTATTTCTATCTAATAGTATACATATTATAGAATTTTATTGCATAATCATGCAAGATAATTCAATTAGAAAATTATAGATTTGAATTGATTCTTAATATATCAATATTAATATTGTATACAACCAAGTCAAAGCCTCACTAGCATATATATATATATAAATATGAAACGAAATGAGACCTTATACTAAACAAAAGGATCGAGGAAAAAAGTCTTCTACAAAGCACTTCGACCAGTTTAAAGACCACCTCTAAATTCGAAAATCTATTTATATCATTTTGTAAAACAGTTCGCTGAGCATCAAATAATATGTAGAAAACTGTAATTGCACCACGCTTTTATGTTATGAGATTCTATACATCGGTCAATAAACACTATACAATATGATGGTAATGGTGAAAGTTGTGACGCTAGCATATCTAAAAATCAACTTATATAAAGTTCTTTTTCAAAGTCAATATGCTAAAGTCTTGGTTGCTGTTGAATCTTGTATGTTTGATAACTCATCTCATTACTTTCTCTAAACTCACAGCATAGATCACTTGAGTCATCTTTCTTGAATTTTCGATGTCGGGACGCTTCAATGTATACAATGCTGTGGCTTAGAACATGATATTAATAACGTGAAACTCTGCCAGATATAGGGCATCATGCAGCTGTATATCTTTTGAATTTTACTGGTTTCTGAATTTGGAAGACTCCATGGTCAAACTACTGTATCACTGCCCCAAAAACGTCCATTTTACGTTTTTTAGCAACGCAATGACACTCAAAATTTTCGTTATTCACCGTTTCACTAAGGAAATTTTTGTCAACGAATAATCGCTCATATTCTCCGCATCGTGTACAGTTCAATGCTATAAATCTAGTGACTGCTTTAAAATCTAAAATCGTCAGAAATGTAGGAAACTACAAGGCACGCCTGTTTGGACTAGATGTTGTGTCCCTTTCCAGGAATCTAAAGGTCAACATTTTTTTTGTCACTTTTTGAAAAGACTAAATTTATACTAATCCCTAGAATACCATGAGCTGATTTTTACCTGGTAAAAATTTCCTTAGCGCTATGTTGAATAACAGAAAACTGGGATACCATTATGTCGATAAAAAACGAAAAATATGCCTTTTCTAGACAGTAATACAGCGGGTTTGAACTCGGAGTCTTCCGATTCAGATACTAGAAAGATTCAAAAGCTGTAGAGCTGGATCATACGTAAATTTTCGAAGACTTGCATGTTAGTAACACCATGTTCTAAGTCACAACGACGTGTGAACTAAAGTGTCTTTAAATCGAAATTTCAGGAAAAATGACTAAAGTGGTCTATGTTGACTACGAGAGAACCAATAAGGCGATTTATCAAATATACAAGATTCAGCTGTAACCAATACTTTATAGTATTGAGTTTTAGAAAGAATTTTGCATAAGTTGATTGGCGGATATGTTAATGTCAGAGCCTTCACAAGTATTATAACATTGTATAATATCTATCAGTCGATATACGGAGTCTCATAACATCAAATCTTCATGAAAATTCTATTTCCTACATATCATTGGATGCGCCGCGAAATGTCTTCCAAAATGATATAGGTACCTTTTCAAGTTAAAGGTAATCGTCAATTCCTGCAGGACCCTTTACGTATATCTCGTTATGTATTCAAAAATTCTCATGAAGCATGTAGTGTCGTTTATCAAACTATAATCAAGATCAGTCTTTTCTGTGGTTCTATGACATATATAGTTTAATTATCTTTTAATATCTATACATTTTTAACTATTTAATATTGTTAATATTTCATATAAATAATCCTTTTCGTTCACCTATTTTTCATAGTGATTATCAATAAATGTTTAATGATTTCAATTGCATTATTTAAAAAAAATATGTTGAACTTACTTCATATCAATCCATAGAGCATCAAATTTTATTTTTTTATAATACTTTATTATTTGATTTTTCCACCAATCTTTAGTTGGTGGATAGAAATAATCGGGAAATACTGTTTTACCTAAAATAAAAATTAAAAAAATAATGATAAAAATAAACTCTCTACATTCTAAACAAACCATAGGGCCAAACATATCCAAGCATATTTCTATTACGAGTTTCATTGAATTGAGGATTTTTTCTTTCTGGCCATTTGACC